TTATTTATTTATTGTTAGTGCATGCTTTTGTATTATCAGGATACAAGTTACACATTTCTGTACATTAAAAAAAATCACAAATGCATTAGCGTATTTAATATGACAATTTTTTCCACAGTCTGTCCAATATTTCTTCTTATTTGAATTAGAAGTAGGCTAGTTGAAGAAGTGATATTGACTGGTACAGTTTTAATAGATGTTATACCGTAGAAGTGTTGTTCGTGATTCTTGAGAACATTAAAAGTGACTTTGTGAAAGAAAAATTGCCGTGAAACTTCATATTGTTTTTTAGAACTGTTAAAGCTTTTTACATAGACTTTTCATGTAAAAAAAAAAAAAACTACTGAATTATTAATGAACCTAAAAGAGTGTTAAGGTGTGAGGAAGAGGAGGAGCTTCATCTGTCGAGATGCGCACAGCTGTGGCTTCGCTGGACTGAACATGTGAGATGATGACGGACTGAATTTGACATTTTTAAATTGAATTCAGTCTTGCACTCTTGTGAGAGATTGTTGTGAATCCGGAGTGAAATGACGCGTCTCCTGCGCGCACCGCTTGGCGTCCTGTGCGTGTTTCTGTGGACGTGCTGCTTGAACGCGTCTGACGCGTCTGACGCGTGAGTGTTTGTGCATCTGCGTCTCTTCTGAGGTTACTCTGATCTCAGATCAGCTGCTGGTTTACTGCTAACGCTTTACAATAAAGGCTCGCTTCTTAACATTAGTTAATGCATTAACTAACATGAAATAAATATGAACGTATTATTTTTTACAGCATTTATTTTTTTTTACCTTTGTTAATCTTAGTTAATCAAAACAGGCGACAATTGTTCGTTGTTTAACTAATATTTAACAGATGCAACTTTTGATTTTAAAAATGTATAGTAAATTCAGAAATGAACTAAGATTAATAAGTGCACTGTAATGTAACTGATGCAACCTTATTGTAAAGTGTTACTTTTTTACTGATCCAAGTTGATTAAAGCGAAATGACTCGAATCTCAAGTTCGAATTAATTTTATTATTATGAGAGACATTAATACTCTCAAAAATGCTTTGATGGATTTAATGCTAACACCCTGACACTTGTGAAAGTTTTCCTGTCTGTAATACATAAAGCAGCTCTTGTGACTCTTTTCTAAATGTCTCATGTGATAACCTGATTTTCTGTGTCATGGTCATACCACTACAAATATTACGTTTTTTGCATTTAATATTTCTTAAAGGGGTGCTTTACTCAAAAATAAAAATTGTTGAAAATGCACTCACCCTCAGTTCATCCGAGATCAGAATGAGTTTGTTTCTTCATCAGGTTTGGAGAAATGTAGCATTGCATCAGTGTCTCAGCAATGGATGCTCTAAACGCTGCTTGATCTGTGCAGATTTCTCTCCTGATTCAGACCAGAACACTTTTTCACTGGAGGAAGTGTTATTATGGATTATGGACTCTATGTATTTTAGTTAAAAACGTCTTAATGCTGGATTTGTTTCAGCTTTTGTCTTCTCCAGATGTTAACTGATGGACTGGAGTGCTGTGGATTACTTGTGGATTATTGTGATGTTTTTATCAGCTGTTTGGACTCTCATTCTGACGGCACCCATTCACTGCAGAGCATCCATTGCTGAGACACTGATGCAATGCTACATTTCTCCAAACCTGATGAAGAAACAAACTCATTCTGATCTCGGATGAACTGAGAGTGCGTGCATTTCCAGCAAATTTTCATTTTTGGGTGAACCATTCCTTTAAGGTACTTCTCCAGTATTTTCTGTATAACGTCTGTGTCTGTCTCTGTCAGTGAGGATTGTCCAGAGAATAAGATCCTGACCGTGGAGTATCCGTGTACGAGAGCTGGAGGTCAGAGAGGTCGCTGTCTCAGGTACACCCCTAAATATAACACATTCAGTGTTCAAGCTTCACTTAAAACTGTTTAATGACTTTAATGTCGTCTGTAGAACTGATTTATAATTGAATTGAGTTCATTTAATAATTGATGAACTTTGCAACATTAACACTTATTATTTCTGTAAAGCTGCTTTGTAAAAATAAAAGTGTGACTTGAAATAAATGTGACTTGACTTAAAGAGAGAAAATAGTGTTTCATGTTTGTAGTGAATGTGATTGGGGAATCTCATGGGATTTGTTTAGCCGAGCGTGGGAACGTTGGTCATCCGTCTGTGACGTGATTACAGTAGGTGTGTTTGGCTTCATTAATGATCAGAGGCAGGAGATTCATGTGACCTTCATCATGTGAGTTCTCAGGCGCAGAGAAATTAAAGAGACATTTCTGAGAATCCTATCAGTGTTGATACATTTACACTGATGATAGTGACTGTAGAATTTCTGAGTGTGAAACCAGTTTATATGGAACCCCAAAGCCACATAGTGATGGAAAAATTATATTTCCATGCTTTTGCATTCACTCTAATAACTTTTGTGTTCCCTCTAAAAACTTAGAGTACTTTTGCAATAAAACACAACTTTTACTTGCGAGAAATACAGCTGAAATACAGTTTTTCCTCTTATAGCGGCTCTATAAGTTGAAAGCGTAGTTTTTACATTTTTGTATTTCATTTTGCCTTGTTTTCCAGTAAAAAAAATAAAATACAAATCTTGAAACAGGATACTTCTGCTTGAGAATCAGCACTGCATTGAGACTTGTTTTCATAGATTGTGTCTTGAATATAAGTATATTCATATTCTGTCTGACTCTTTGACTTGTTTAAGTTTGAGACGAGTTAAAGACTGAATCTGACAGCGCGGTACGATGAAATAGAGTTATTCCTGAAACAGTCTATGAGTCCCAGTGTCTTTTCTCAAAGCATTTAGAGATATTTTAACAGCAAAGCAAAACGGAAACACTCAGGAATGTGAGTTTTTGTGGTGAGAGTAGTATATAAGTACAGTAGATACTGACATTGAGCTTTGTGCAGTGCATGATATACAGCATATAAAGCTGATTTTACAATTTGTACAATCTGTCTGCAACATAAACTGGAGCGCAGAAATTATGATCTTTTTAATTAACACCACACATGGAAGCACAGCTCATAATTAATTTTTACACATTTATTATGTGTAGAATTCCCATGTGGCCTGTTTATGCGCTATAAAAACTGATGTTCTTCCTTGTGTTTTTGTTTTGTTTTCCAGTACAAAACAATATAATTTTTTTTTAACCAAGACACATTTATTGGAGATGCAGAATGACAGAAAGATATTTGTTTTCTGAGAAATGAATCAAAATTAAGCATGTTTATGCCTAAAACAAGAACTAATATGTCAGTGGAGTCAGAAAAAATGTGAACTTAATTCAAAGGGAAAACAAGTTGATTTATTTTTATGAAAGCTTGTTTCACACACAGGATGAAAAAATAAAGTTGATTACAACTTTTTTTCTGACAATTCAAATTTCTTTTAATTTTTTTAAATAAAATAATTGCTGTAAAAAGCTGTTAAAAAACAATGCTAAAATTAATGTCCTATTTTCTTCATTTCAAATGTTAAATCACTGATCTTTTGTTTTGGTGTAAAACCACTAATATCTTCTGCTTCTACATGTTTATATTTCTAATGTAAAAATAAAAACACCAGATCATGAGCACGTAAATGAACACAGTGCCACACTTTACTCTGAAACATGCAGCACATTTGATGCGAGATATGATCATTGGAGTAAGCCATATTGTGACTTCAATTTAATTTCTATATATTAGAAATAATGTTAGAATATAACTAGAGAGCCAGAGTGAGATCTGATTGAGCCATGTGTGTTATTCTGTGCAAATGAAGACCGTGTGTGTGTGTGTGTGTGTGTGTGTGTGTGCGCGCGTGTATGTGTGTGTGTGTGTGTTGAGAGAGGTCAGATTCTTAAGGAGCAGCAGAGGTCAGTAGGTCAAGGGTCACAGGAACCGATCTGACATGGTCATGACACAAACGTCCAGAAGTGTGTGCTTTATTACAGTGCTTTGTGTTGGTCTGAAGCAGGGAAATTGCTCTGATGAAGACGGTGTTGTAGTTGTATGTGAACATCATAAACCACTGTAGGAGTTGAGAATGGAGAGATGAAGTGTGGGAAAACAGAAACACAACAGAGGATGATGATGATGGTGACAGGAGAGAGAGAACATGATGAAGAGAGGAAAGATCGTCTGACTTCTGGACGAGTGTTGAGAAAATAAACACTCAGACCGCTGACACACACTTTCATCATGTCACAGATCAATTCATATGAAAAGCAGTGAAGTACTGAGGGCAGACTTATTTATTTACATTTTTTTTTTTTTTGTCAATGATATACATTAAAAAAAACAACATTTTTTGGGGTTTTTT